TATATTACTGCATGCCAAAATAAAGGCAATGTTAACCATCGGAAAGCAAGAATGTTTTCTTTACGTTTTACATATTAGCATCTTGACAGTACGTCGACATAAATAGCACTGCTTCGTTAGCGCAAGATATTTCGATATCTGAACAGTGAGAGATTTCATCGTCATTCCATATGCCTTAATCACAAACTGCCTATTCAACTCTCACTAACATATATGGGTTTTTATTCACCGTCTTAAAAACTGACTGATGCTTGGCATGCAAATTGTGTGGGCTAATTTTGTTGGATGTGTGTGTATATGAAAGGGTTAAAACAATCGTTAAGGTTTTCAATGATAAATTCTCCATTCCTATTGTAAAAAAAACAAACAGAAAACCATAAAACAGAAAAGTAAATGCTTGCTGAACGCATCTGTATACATTTCATACACTGAGAGAGGCTATGAAAAACAGTGAAAGACTGTTATTGAAATGTAATTTCAGTGTTTTTTTTTACTGTCAATAAAGTCCCACTTCACAGAAAACACCTTTGATATTACTTGCTATCCACCAGTTATAATAATTTTCTTGAGAAATGATGAAACATAAATGGAGATGCAATCCTCACAGACTTTGTCATAACAGCATGAGTCCTAATGCAACATACTGACTCTAAACGGTTGCTAAGCAACATTTTTCAACTGCTGGAGGATTAGACTGCAGGCACCAACAACAAGAGTGTTCAGATATGCTGTGTTTCAAACCCTGATACAGTCCTCTTTTACGAGTCAGGGTCCATCTGCTCTGCCTTGTTCCACTGTTTTGCAAGAATAATACTATTCATATGTTTAGTACCCAAGAAAATATACAAAAACAGAGGTGTGAAAGATGTGAAAATTGTGATTAGGTAAATTCTAATTCTACTGCAGCTGCTCATAAAATGTGTATTGTTAAAAAAAGAAAACATTCTGGCAGCAAAACCTATTTTATCAAAATAATTTTTCTTTATCTTTTTTATACAACAATTTCCTAACAATGTGGAATGAAACTTCTTCTAAGGCTTGTCCTCAGCAGGAGAAACACCCTGAACTTTTCTCCAATCTGCCCCTTCTGGCAAGCCGCAGGTAAGAGCCTCACTTCTATCATCGTTTAGAAAAATGTGCGAGGAATTGGTTTTTGAATCAAATTTAACTGGAATATGAACTATTTTACAGACACCAGAAGCCACAAAGTGGGTGAGTCCGCTCAGCTGTACAGCAGTAAACAATGGATAAAAATGCTAATTTAGACATCAAAGAGACTTTTAATGCGTAAAACTTCACGTTATGGACCGCAACCCTATAATTAAGAGCCTGTTGCACGCCCAAGAGAGGAGAGAGAGAGACCGCGGGAAGAATTAATGGCCAAAGGAGACACATTGGGTTGTGGTATGAGAGCAATCAGTGGAGAGTAGGACAGCTATTATGGGGTGAGACCAGCGTTAGCTTGTGTGCTAACATCAAAACATCATACTGAATGTATNTTGGCATCTCAGTCCCTCTGAGAGATCAAGTTTCACTTATTTCAACATCATTCAGTCTGCCGAAGGATCTCAGTATGCAGTGGCAATGAGCAAACCTAACATATCTCCATTTGGTCTTTCAGCAGGGTAAAGTTTTAAAATAAATCACCAACATATCTGATAGCTCATTTCCATTGATTGGCATGATCGGTGTAGCGACCATCAAATTTCCTCCAATTTTGGTTGCTTCTGGGTGCGGGAATCCAGGTCCTAATGCGCTCAAAATGCAATGTCCAGACTGGGGGATACGTTTGGGAACACTCCCATTTATTCGCACAATAATATTGAATGCAATCCAATTCCTGGGTGGCGGTTAATGGCAGCATGCAAATAAATGGTAAATTGATCAATATGTGGATATGATGAAGAAAACCAGTATATAATACAGATCGGTAAAAAACCGTTTAACCCCCCCACACCCTCCAACACTGCCCTTACCTTGACACTTATGTAGATTTCACACACAGCACCACCAGTGTTAGAGCAGCAATAAAGGTCAGAAAGTCATTTCACATACAATCCAAATACCGCCACTAAAACAAAGCAATTTATGGAAGCCAAATAAGATAGACCAAAACAATGCCCAAACACAAAATTACAAATGGCTCCAATAACCTGTATGGTCTAATATTATTAGTGTTTCTATGACTAAGCAAGTACAGACCACTGGGTGTTCATTGTTGTTGTTGTTTATTCTGTCACCGTGTTGTCATGCTGATGTAACCCAATGCTGTGGATTTGGTTTAACTGCAGGTTAAGTGGCAGAGGGACATGAAGTTGAGTAGAAACGCCTGCTTGAACGGACCACATCATTCTAACACTACTGATCCGTGATGACTTAGACCAGAACAACGGTCAAAGCGAAAAATCAAACATCTTCCTAGTTCCTAGACCTGAATCAAGGTTTATAAAGGAATGAGCAACTCTTATTTAATGCTCTTAAAAATAATGTTAATGCCATCAACAACTACCCACGACTTTTATATATACATGGCAAATTTCTTTGTCATCTTTACCGTTTACAGGCTACAGCCATGTCCCAATTCCTGGTTTTCCAGCCACTTTGGTTGAAATTTGCTTTTTCCCCATTCTCTAGCTTTTTCTCTGCCTTGAGCTTCTTTTCCAAACATACGGCTTTACGATCAACCAGAAGCAGTTCCACATAAATATACTGCGATATAATATATTTGATGAAATTGTTTTTATACTTCTTTTTTTTTTTTAAATAAAGCCTTTAAATGCCACAAAAATCACATTTAATGAATTGTAATGCCAATTAAGGCCTTCATTAAAAAAAATATATATATAATTTAATGACTCTTAATGATTTTTTTAATGACCTGCAGAAACCCTGAGAATCCACATGAAATTATTTCTACTAAACCAGGGTTTCTTAACCCTGGTCCTCAGGGCCCTCTGTCCCACATGTTTGAGTCGTTTCCCTGCCTCAGCACACCTGACCTGAAGGAAAAGGTGACCAACAGGCTTTTAGCAGCATTTGATGGCTGCCAAGGAGGTAAGGAAATCATTTGAATCAGGTGTGCTTGAGTAGAGGCATATCAAAAACATGAAGGACAGTGAGCCCTGAGGACCAGGGTTAAGTAACCCTGTGTTAAACTAAGAGGAGAGGACTGAGGCTTATGGGTGATTGAAAAATGGTAAAAAAAAAAAAAAAAAAAAAAAAAAGAAAGGTATAGAAGTCTATCTGTATCTACAAAACTTGTGAAATACTTCAAATTAATTACCAGGGGTTTTGTTGTTGTTTTTTTGTTGTTTTTTTTACATCCAGCAAATCTTCACAAACTAAAAGGTTGGATTTTCAGTGCGGAATCAAGCTATTGCATTAAAACATTTAAAGATTTTTTATACATGNCCTTACCAGAGCTGTTTTTGGATCCAGAGGAGCTCTCCTTCTCTACTTTGGGTTTCTTCTTCTTGTGAGATCCAGAGTCTGAAGCAGCCTGCCTTTTCTCTACAGCTGGAGTGGAAAGAGCTCTCTTTTGGAACAGCTCCCTCTCCCTTAACAGAGCTGGATCCATCCTGACAAACTGATAGGAAAGAAGAAAAGTGTATTATTGAAAGCCAAATTATTTTATACAAATTAAGACAAAACATTTAACATTATTTGGTAGAAATATTTCATCATCAAATGCAAACTGAGCCCATAACAACAGACGTAATTCTATTTTTTCCTAAAATGATAATTGGAAAACAGATCATTTACCAGGTTTGTCTACTGTTGGATATGGGCTATATTTATATTCAATGACTTTAGGTTATCATGAATTTATAGACCAGTGCAATTCCTGAAAAAATTAATTAACAACCAAATCACAAAATTAAAATTAAACACCTCCAACAGAATATGCAAAGCCCATCCACAATGCATGCTGTACCATTAATTGACTACAAATTTTTATTTTGGTTTATAGCCATAGGGCACACTGCAGCATGTTAATAAAACCTCTTGATGGATGGAACACTTAATCAGATTATATTCTATTTAATCAATGGAAATGTGTTAAGAAATTTCATAAGTATACAAATTACAGAACATGCCTTAAACTGAGACAACAAACCCACCAGAGCAGTGATGAAGCCAAAAACTGTATAAAATATAAATACATTTAAGATTATAATCCTTCCTTGTCTGCAAGTATGCTCTATTTAAAGCTTACTTGTAACAGCTTTAGCTTCACCAAGTTCAAATTCTGTAAAACAAATATCATTTGAACAATTTTTGCAAAGAAGATTAACAGATTTTATTTTTTATGCATAAGTACTAAAGATCATATGCATGTAAATAGCTTCGAACACAATCAAAAAAGCAAAAAGCATCCAGTAGGAACAACACCTCTTTGCATTTTCTGTCAAAGGTACAAAGGTCTTTCTCGTTAGACAATAATCAATTGAAAGCTCATATAAAAGACAAAATAAATTTTTCTCTACGCATTCCAAATAAGGACAATGAAAAGGCAAAGTCAAAGATAAACAAAGAAGACAAAGAATGCAAGTTAGGTTATAAAAGGGAAAAAACCAAACAGTATATCGAGTATTGCTTTGGAAACGATTTCAAATGTGAATATCTTCTGAAAATAACCCTAGCAAGAATGATAAAATAAATGTTTCCATAGAAATGATAAATCAGATCCAGCATTGATCCAAAGCACTGAGAGGCAAAACAAAGTAACTCAATTCTAGCTGCTTGCTTTAGCTAACATTTGTTAGCTCTCATTAATCGCCTAAGCAGCTTGC